AGCATATGGTAACATATTAGTAAACAGCACAATTTTATCTAGAAAACCTACTGCTAAAAAAACGTGTTTTTATTTTCCAGTAGTATGCATTCCAGGTCTGGTGTATAAAAGGACATGAGCTAGCTTCTTTGCACACTTGTGTGCATGTTAACATGGTGTTGTGGCAGTGACCAGAGTGACAATAAGTCCACGGTGAAGGCCATGGAAGTGGCGTGTGCTGAATTGTACAACTGCACTGTGACTCATTTCTCACATTCCAGTGCAGGAGGAGGAGTTGATTTCCATAAGCCTTGGCCTTGGGCTCCACAGCCATACATCAAGCCATTAATCAAAAGAAAGGCTAGGACCAATGCAGAGTGAGGCAGTGTCCTCTAGGTGCACAGCCAGCACCTGAAAGAGTTTGTGCAGGGGCATTATGGGAGAGTATGAGCATTGCATACTTTAATCAAAATAAATGCCAATATCAGTCAAGTTGATGGGATGTTTGGAACACTATACAATACATAGAACATAAATACCGGTAGCACCTGCAGATGCATCAAGGTGAAAGCTCTGATGGAAAGGGGAGAGAGGCAAAGGGCAGCGCTCAGGCTGAAGAGTTATTATTATTATTTTAAGCCTTGAATTAAAACAGAAAATAAGGTAAAACGCAATGTGCTTGGTCTTATATTGATTTATTATCAACTGTTGTAATAAAACAGAAATGCTTCTTTTCTTTTTATGATGATGATTTGTGATGATTTCCTCAGCTCTATCCCCAGGTTAGTGAATAGTAATAGATCCACTGAACTAACTACCTACTGGGGATCTGCCAACAGCTGCAGAAGTTTCTAGCAGACTATTTTAGTCAATAGTCAAATGAACAAAAATATGACAACACAGGTTGAAAAAATATGTCTCTGTATCAACTTTGGACTATTTATTTAAAGTGCAACTGGAAATTATGTTTTGAGCTTGTAAGACAATCCTGCATTTTATAATATACACCCAGCTAAGGCAGCAGTGAGCATAAAAACCATTCCAACCATCTATAGTGAAAATAGTAACAGGAGACACAACCACAAA